TCCTGTCCTCAGCTTCCTTTCTTCCCTTTCATCTCATCTTCCTTCCTTCCCTTCTCTCTCCTTCCTTTCCTCTTCTCCTACCATCTTCCTTCCTGTCCCTCTCTCCTTCCTTCCTCTATCCCCTATCAGATTCCTCCCTCCCTCCCTCAAAAGAAAAAAAAACCCAAAATGGTACCATTCCACTGATCTAAACCACTTTAAAAAAAAAGTAAGATATCAACAATAAAATCCTTGGAAAAATTCAGTGAGATGGCCCACTTTTGCTCCTCGTTTACGGGCAAGCAAAGATGAGTGTAAGCGTACCCCTCCCCGGAGAAATCATTTCTGACTGGGGTATCCCAGCCTCAAAATGATTCTTCCTGTAACTCTTTTCTTTACATGATTCTTTGTTATCCCCCCACCACTCAGTCCCTGAGCATCAGATGGGAGAAGAATAGGAGAACTGAGACTTGAGATGGTGTCAGCAGAGGTATGGGAAGACAGCAATGACTCATTCCCTGTTTGCACCAAGCACACAGTGAGCTCAGGGCTAAAATGTTATCCTTCAAGAAGGCACACAGGGGACAACTCATACTGATGTCGGAGCATGGAACAATTAAAGCTCTGAAGTCCATGGAGACCAATTTATTATGTTGCAAGGGGGAAAAAAAGAGAAAGCTTCGGTGACTTTTCAGAGAATCATGTAATCAGCTGTTTCCTCTCCAGGTGACTTAAGAGTCTACTTAAACCTGTGACATGGAGGCAGCTTGCAGGGTAGAATAATTTATTGTATCATGACAAATTCCCAAGTTAAAGAGGATGGGTGCTTCAGTTGAGAAACAATGTTTTAATCCCCTCACACCTACAAAGAGCCCCAGAGAAACAGGAATTCAACCTTGTTTCTCCCAAGGTCTAGCAATTAGCAGAGAAATCTGCTGTCACTCCCTCTGACAACAAGCAAAATGTGGTGGGGTGTGATTATGATTGTCTTCATGGGCATGAAGCCCTGGTTGAAATTTCGAGGGGTCCCCCCCTCCCGGTATCTAGCCACCCCTTTCCCCATAACATCTTGGAACATCCTTTATCCGATACCTCTAGTCTTATTACAATCTTTAAAAATTCAGCTTTGTGCTCCAAACCTTTGCTTTTATTTTATTGGACCCCATTCCCTTTTCCGCATTCCATTTCATGGCTGGCTGGGGAATTCTGGGACCTGAAGGCCACACAGCTTAAAATGGTGGAGGCTGAGAAACATTGCTAGAGAAGAAGAGGAGTTGTTCCATATTCTGTAGTGCCCACCCCATCCAATCTAGTGGAATGGGCAAATACCTTGGCCAAATTTCCTTATACGGCCAGCCATTTTGGTACCTACCCACCAAGCTCCAGTTTGGCTGGTGAAATGGTAAATTTCACTACCTAATCACTCTGCTTTGGGACTGAAACCACAGTCCCCTGCTGTATAAAATGGCAAATTGAAAGAATCACAAAGAATCATATAGGCTAGTCCAACCACAGCTCAATGCAGGAATTTAAATCCAGCAACCCTGAATTGGGACAATCTAACCTTTACAATAACCATATAAGGTAAAAATAAATCCCACTCACTCCCATATCCGTGTCAGAAACTCATATAACTAACTTTAACTGAGAATCTGCCTTCCTGTAATTTCAAACTCTCCTCCTATGTGTGTGTGGGGGGGGGGGGGGGGGGGGGGGGAGAGAGAGAGAGAGAGAGAGAGAGAGAAAGAGAGAACGAGAAAGAGAGAATGAGAAAGAGAGAGAGAGAGAGAGAGGAGAACATGCCTTGAATAATGTCATCTCCATGCATAATTAATTCCCATTTTCAATAATAATGACAACATGGGCAATTATTACTCTGGGAAACATACGATAGCCATCACCCCTTTTTCTGCATCAAAGTGTACTCCAGAGCATTTCAAGGTACTCACTGTAAGAATCGTACGTCTCGTCGTTCAAGCCATGGGCATAGTCATAGTAATCGCCACCACTGTTTGAAAGAAAAAGAAAATATGTTCATCTGGTTACAAGACAGAATGAAGCTGACCTACTTAGCAGCTACACTTTTTTAAATTATTATTTTTTATTTTATTCATATGTTAACAGCTGCGTTTTTGACCATCTTTCAAAAACAGCAAGAAGACATTAGTAAGCATTGCAAATTGACACACTGAACTCAGAGCATCCCTGTCTCTGGTGACCATACACACACACACCCTTTGAAGATAGACCATGATGTATATAGGCAGACTTCTTCACAGTTCCAAGCTTCATCAGACAGGCCAAAGGGGAGGAAAACTTAGAGGTTTACCAAGGTAGTATTAAAGAGCTCCAAATTTAAATGGCTAAATGTATTCATTTTAAATACGTACAACAGTTCTTTAGTTCTGATTCCAAGGAGAAGCACAACACCAGAAAAGAAGTCAGGTAATAATAACAACAAAACAGCAACAAAACATAAAAACTGTGATGACTTGGTAATGCTTTAAAATGGCCACGGTGCTCAAATAAAGATGGAGTTGTCTTTCTTTTTTTAAAAAATAAATAAATAAAAATAAAGACAACTCTAGTCCACAGAAAGATTCCTTAG